TACGAAATTATTTGTTATGATATAATTATTAGGAAATTCGTTATTAAGGTAAGAAAATTATATGATTTAAAAGTTTTTTGCAATAAGAGTAATCTCCCTTCTTCTCCTTTTTTCACTGGTTACTTTTATACCTTTCAATTTGTTCTCTTTTTCCTTTTGTTTTTGCGTTTTAACAGGTTTTCTCTTTTTTTTTCCTGAGGATAACACATGAGGATGAAAGATATTGTGCAAGGATGAGAAATCTGTCATCTAGATGGTAGCACACTCATCCTCAGGTAACACTGTTATCTTGCTACCATCCCTCGTGACATTCGTAACCTTCCGCACTTCTCGTATTGTCACATTCTGTGCAGAACAAAGCAAAAGTTACACCAATCAGTCTCAAATTTACCACGTATATATCACTAACACGATTTTATTGTGCACAATATCACCACACTGTAAGTTAGGCAATCAGTTGATCTAAACCTGCTTACACTCATGACTAATATATTACGTGTAATTATCTGAAGGTACGATGAGTAAGTGGAATAAAAGTATCTTTATTACTGCTTACACACTACCAACTGAAACAGACTTTTGTGTAACTTTTGCCAAGAAATATAAAAGAGTTTATTAAAATTTATTAAAACTTATCAAAAGAATAGGTCAATAGAAATATTATCATGGGTGGGATGTCTATCCCTATTGCTATTCCGATACACGAAATTATTAAAATTATTACAAAAATGTATAACAATAGAGATATATTACTGCTTTTGCGTATCTTATCTCTATTGCTGCACGAAATTAGTTATTAGAAATTATTTATTTACTGACATAAGGAAATTATTCGAAACTATCTATTGCTAAAGTTATTAAGAGAAGAGAAATTAAAATCTATCTATTATTATTATTATTAATGAAGGAATCAAATTCGAAATTAATTATTATTAAAACTAATATAAGGAAACTAATTAAAGTGAGTTTTTCACCCAAAAGACATCTTTTTTTCTACCACTACTTGACTTTGATTCTTTATACATTTTTCTTTTGTTTACCTTTACCTTAGTTGCTACTTATACTTTGCTACTTGAAGGTGTTGTGCGAGGGTGAATAAATAATTACCTTGTATTTCATCCAGGTGGTGATACATAATCTACTTGGTGCAACTATCACCTCTGTTCGCTACTTTCAGTGGTCACGAATGTTTCCGTGTCACCACAATATTTGACATAATCCTCCAAGATCATCATGATATTTAAGATTTGTAGAATTTTTTAAAAGACCCATAAAAGTTGATCTCTTCATACTATTTGAACATGTTTCAGTAAATTTATTCCATAGATTAGGTTTTTGATCTCGTAAATATATGATTGGCAATTCTGTTTTTGCACCTATTTGGTAAGAACTCATCGTAACATTTTCACAATCTTGAAAAAAATTTTAAATTGTTCTTCTTGTATGATATTTAGATGTTGAACTTTTCTTTTTAATTTATTTATAGGAGAAGTTCCTGGAACATGCAATCTAGCACGTTTTCGTACTTTGTTTATAATATAAGGAGTTATCTATTCAAAAAAATAAATAAGAATAAAAACTATTTTATAAAAAATATACTTGTCACCGCTGGTGTTATCCGTGTAAACCTTCTACAATTTACAAAGACAACGGGATAAAATAATACTAAAACTAATAAATAAAACTAA